AGCAAGAAACCATTACTCGTTTCTCTTTATGTTGTATTCCAGATGTACTAAGTACACGTAATTCGTTTCAGTTATAATCTACTTCGATCGTATTATCCTTCATAGAGACTATCAGCTTTAAGATAGCAGTCTTTGCTGAATGTAGCGCAGATTTCTCACAATTTTCTTTTGTAATAATTTCGACATTATTTTACATTCTTATCTAAATTTAGAGAAAAACAGTTTTTTATCTATAATAATAGACTTTGATAAAACTATACAGTACTTTTAATAAATACGTATAATTACAAATATGAAATTATTTTAGTTTCACAAATTCGATTATATAATTTAACAGACTGCTATTAAATCAATATTTTGAGTATGAAGAATGTGTATGTGTGTGTGTGTGTGTATATATATAGGCCTATTTATACAACTTTATCGTTTATTTGAATCGAGATTTATTACTAAAACTTGTTTTGTCTAAAATTTACTTGGAATTGTGATAAAGAAAATTTTATTTGAACTCTTAATTAATTTATAGTAAAGTGCGATAGTTTTGAAATATGTAATTATTCAGTGCAAATTTGTATTTTTTTTTTAATAACTATATTTTCTTTCTACATTAATTCATTTCTCTTATTATTTTATAAAATAACATTAATAACATTGATAAAACATATTAAGGCAAGATAAATCGAAAAGTTTTTACGAAATATCTCATAGTTTACATCAAATTTTATATTAACTTAAAATATAAAATATTGATAAATTATTCAATTCTCACTTTTACTCATATATATATATATATATATATATTTTTTATTTTTTTTTTTATTTTTTTAAATGAAACCATTTTATTTTTTTAAATCGATTTTTGATCAAATTTGGCATAGAAAGTTATATATATATAAAATTTTCTATGCTAAATTTTACCAAAAATCGATTTAAAAAAATAACGTGGTTTCATTAAAAAAAAAACTAGATTGACCTTCATATAATCTTAAAAAATGACATTATTTAAAATTTAAGATTATCAACTTTTTTCCCTTATCTAATCCTAAAATTTGTTTGAAATATTTTTTGTACGATGTCAAGTTTCGAGGGAAACACTTTATAACACTTTAGATGAAATATTTTATACCGTGGATATGCTATTCTAAAGCTTATAAATTCTAAACAGAAAATCTGACTAGAAAAAGACCTTGACATGTGTTTTCAATCTTCCTTTGTATCTAAAACAGTAAACGTTATCTCAGCTTAAAGTTTTGTTTACATTGTCTTAGATTAGACAATGTTGTGTGATGTAAACAGTGCACTATAATTTTACATCGTTGATCTAGGATTGATTTTAGAATTGATTTTAGAATTGATTTTATCATCGCATAATTATAGAAACTATCGAGGCGATTTTATATAGCTGAGCGACGCAAGAATCGATTATACTTGAACGTTATTGATTGAAATAATAAATGTTACTAATGAGGTATGTGTGTGCAAATGTCACATGTTATATAATTATTGCACTGCCTTTTAGCTATTGAATCTTTAATAACTTGCTTTTGGGAGGAAACTCAATAAATTTAATGAACTTAACAAAAGATATTCATAAATTTAAAAATACGCGATAAACATTTAATTAGTTCACTGATAATGGTCCATATATGTCCACTATGAATAACTTTGCCAATTTTCAACGGATTTGCATGAAACTTGATACACCCACATTTTTCAGGTCGCTGATGACAAATTTGGGATCGAAATTTTAAAATTCAAAATGGCAAATTTAGTATGGTGAATTAATTTTGTTATTCTTTTATTATATTTGTTATTCCATTAGAGAAGATTCAAATTCGATATGTTCAAGTTTGAATGTCTTGAACTAATTCGTTATCTGTGACCAAAAAACGTACTGAGTATGATATATTTTCATAATGGAATATCAAAGTTAATCATTAGAAATCGCCATATTGAATTTGCCAGTTTAAATTTTGCAATTTTGTCTATAGATCAGCATAAGAGACTCGAAAAACGCAAATATTGAATTTGATCTTCTCCATAATGAAATAAAATTAGTCCGCCATATTGGATTCGCCATTTTGAATTTTGAAATTTCGACTCTTGATTCGTTACGCGACGCAAAAAACCCCTTATAAATAAACTTTTATGTAAAATATGAATTTATTTGCTCTTACTAGTTTTGGTACAAAACGTTGATTTCAAGTAGTTCAGTAAACTAAAGAATTAATGGCGTGAAATAAATTCGATTGGAATTAAGTAATTCTTGTATTAGCTATATTAAGGAACAAACAAATTTCTTCATGTAAATGTTAACTATATATATATATATGTAGAATTCAGTAAATAAACACAGATTACACACTACAATGGCTCATCAAAATGCACTTGTCCTAACAATAATCATAAATTATGGAATCATTGTGCAACCATTACTGCTCATTAGCTCTGATCATATATGAATATAAATTCTCTTTTTTATAATAAAATATATATCGTATCCACTCATAAAGAAAATGTTAAATCGATTAGTCGAAAGTACCAAAGAATATTGTTAGTTCTTTTCGATTTTTCCATCGTAAATTATCATCAAAATCACATATATTAAAAGTTCGAAGAGAGTTAATTGCGATATGAATGATATTCGTTTAATATATTGTTCATGAAGAACAAAGAAAATTATATTATAAATATATACTCTTCTCGAATTCATCACACATGTTGAATGTTTGTAAAAATTGCGTATTTTAACAGCTTAAATTGTTCGAGAATTATTTGGGAGGAATACTAGTGAGCTTTATTTGTTAGGTATAAATCTAACATCAAATGTACATGTATGTATGCTTTTGAAATACGAAAAAAATTCTAACATGTTTCTTTTAGATAATTATCTTTAGCTATGTAAAAATATACGTAAATTACATGGTATGATTTTTATACATTCCTTAATATATGTAGTATGTGTTATTCATCAGTGCATATTTTTATATATCAATAAAAATTTCTTAAATTTTAGAATATTTAAATTGAGATAATATTAAAATAATATGGCGTGTAACGCGCTTTATATGATATTCTGTAGTACACACATATATAATACACGTATTATATATATGTATATATATATATATATATATATATATATATGTGATAGAATATATTATATATCTATATATACAAGGTATCAGGGCAATCTCTTTCCAACAAAAAGCTCTTGTAGCTTATCTCGAGAGCTTTTCAAAACATTATAATAAAGTATTTTTTTTATCGAGTACTTTTCGAGTTATGAGGTTTGAAATAATTTCTTAATGTTTACATAAACTATAAAATATTCATTTTTCGATTATTTTACCTTCATACTTTTATGTACAAAATAATGAGAGGAATCAATTGGTGTACAGAAAATAATTGTTTAAAAAAAAATATAATTGTTAATTGCAAATTATATATTTTTCTTCAGCTACAAGAGCTTTTTTTTGGAAAGAGATTGCCCTGACATTTTGTATATGCACATTGTTCAACAATATTCTATCCGAATGTTCTTTTTTCCGGAGTATCATAAACAATTAAGATAAGAAAGAATTTGACTATATTTTTAATTTAATTTTGTTAAATATTTATTATATATGTGTGTAAATATTTTAAATATATTTATTAAATAAAAAAAATATTGAATAAAAAAATTGATAAAAACTGAATGAATTAAATAATAATTAGTCAAAATTTTAAAAAATTAAGAGAAAAAGTTCCACATATTTATTTTTTAATAATATATGAATATAATATATGAATATAATTTATATATATCTTTTTTATTTTATATATCTTTTCTTCTATGATATATAATTATCTATTAATTGAGAGAAGAGAAGAGAGAGAGAGAGAGAATTGTTTTTTTAATTTAATTTAATTTATTATATTAATTGTGAATTGTGAATTGTTTTATGTAGAAAGAGTTAATTCAATATAATTTATAATATCAGTTAATTATTTTTTACTTTCGATTTTCATAAGTAAATTATTTATTTACTTATGAAAATCGAAAGTAAAAAATAATTATATACATACTTACTTATTTACAAACTTATTTATTTCATATGCAGTAGCAGGTACAGTTTGAAAAAAATTCCTAATTTAAATTTTAAAACTCTCAGAGATTCACAGTATTTTGAGTAAATAAAAAATATCAATAATAATTTAATCCTGATTTCAATACGTAAAAGCTTCAAATATTATTTACAAAGAGATCGTTTTCAAGAGTTTTTGTCATGTTAAACGTGAGACCAGACTCTCGTTTAATTTCAATTAATATTAAATAATTTCATACTGTTGACGAGAATCAGATTATCTATAATTTATGATTAAAGATTAATTATAATATTATAATATTACTGATCATGCAGAAAATATTTTATTATTGCATATATGAATGTTTAAAAAGCCATTTAATGAAATTTATCCTATCCAGAAACGCGGGCAGAATTGGTGAATTAATGAGAAAATACGCACTGCGATATACAAGTGAATCCCGATTGTTCACGGCGTGCAATAAACATATTTTGCGCGAGTTGTTTTACTTGCGAACCTACTATATGCGACGTGGCGTCGAGATATCATCGAGCCATACCACGATTGTCAACTCAGCAGATCATTTTTGTGATACTAAAGTCAAACGAGTCAAACGAGTCAGATCATAAACACTAAAGTCGTTTACGGCCACATCGATCTTTCCTATAGAAAAAGAAATGCTTTGTCGTCTTTTATTTTTTTTAACAACATATTAGTGCTATGAACGTGCCAGTTTAATGAAATGTCCTCGATATATATCAAGAATTTATATCTGAATTTATTAAAAATGTACGCTCGTTACATATTAACTCAGTAATCTGTTATTCTGTAATAAAATCTTCTTTATATCCTCTAATATCCTTTAATAAATTGGAGATAAGAATTGCATGCGTAAAAGATCTTTCTCGCGGATTTAAAAAATTATAGCTCACCGAGATAATATTGCTTTCAATTTTCGACTGATTTTTCTTTCTTTAAGTTTTTGCGCGACAAATTTTCGCGCACTTCTTTATTTCTTCAAGATGACAATGCTTGACACACAACAGAATTCTCGCGCACGGATTTTCGTCTCGTCGTTTGAACCGTCAAAAGTAGTAAGACTCGACGGTTGCGTCCGTCGTGTAGCACGGCTGGCCGTCTACTGGCGCGTCGCGACGCCTGGCGTCGCGACGCCTACAACGCACATCCTCCGACTAGCAATGTGGCGATTGACATATTGCGGTATATAGAGAAAGATGCGAATTTAAGATACAAGAATTTAGTGAAGAAAGATACAATCTCTCATGGGCATATATAGAGCAGATAAAAATAATGCGTTTTTATAAAATTATAAATAACAAATTTTCATAAAATTGTTTTTAATAATATTTTTATCGAAATATTTATCTTTAAAATTAAAATTTGAGCATTTTTCTTGAATAACTTTTGTCAATCTATGAATTTTAATAATTTGCAATTATTTTTATTAAATAAAGATCTATAAAATATATACGTTACGTTTCTTGAAATATTAAATATTGTCGGACAACCAGGGGCGATCTATAAACCTTCTAACTTACAAAATTTTGAAGCTGATAAGTTTTTTGATAAATGTTTAAATGTTTTAGAATTTATTTCCACGTCTTTTTTTAAAGGAGTACTCTTATTTCGTCGAAATTAATAGTTTTCGCGAAAAACACATTTAATCGATAGAAAATAAGTAATGATGGTGATAAAATGATAAAAAAATGCGTTGTAGAAAAATATTTTATAGAAGTTTATGTGGTTATTTTTAAGCTTTATTGCCTTATATTTCACCCCTAGCAAAACCTATATATCTGTTCCGGTGTTAGCGCATCTTTCGTCAATTTATTATATCGCTGAAGAATGCCTGAAGCGAACTGTCACTGATAAACAAATGATTCTCGTCAAACTGCAAACTATATCAGAACGATCATATTAATGAGATGAGTGAGTGATTAATTGTATGCTATTGTCAAAGTACCTTTTCCTCCGGGACGTATCCTTATCGATTTTCATTTTTTTTCTCTTCATCAATTATGGCTTGCACTAATTATATGTATGTATTTAGTCCCAAAAGATTGGAATTCTTAAAAACAAAAAAAAATAAAAAAAATATAAGTTTTATAGAAAAATGTTCCAGATAAAAATAGTTTAAAACAATCTATTTACTGATCTTACCAGTTTGACCTGTATTGCGACGTTAAGGATAGGACCTTAAATTTTTTTAATGGAATCCTCTATTTTTGTTGCATATTGTTGTTAGCTTAGGTCGAAAGCTTTTCAAAACACTATAATAAAGTATCTTTTCATTAAGTACTTTATGAAATTATTTCTTAATTTTACACATAAACTATAAAATATTTTATAAAATATCTATTTTTGTGATGATCTTATCTCAATATTTTTATGCATAAAATAACGAGAGGAATCAATAACATAATCAAAATACATAATCATGTTTTTGAAGTTTTTAAGGGTTTCGACCTTTTTGTAACATCCTGTATGAAATATATTATGTAAATTACATATTATGTAAATTACATTAATATAAATTTTAATAATTATTATGCCTATTTTTGAGCTGCAGTGCTTTTTGAAAATTTTAAATTTGAAATATGCAAATTTTATATTCCATTTATTTTTAAACATTTCTGTTCTGTTAGCTCTGCTTGTTTAATCAATTTCATCATGATGGACACTTTGGTGAATCCATTTATCAGAAAAATATGAAATCATAGAAAGATAATCATTGTTATGTCATTTCAACTTTTTCCTCTACCATTATTTTTATTGTCAACAAGAGAAATCTAATAAAAATTGACTCATCTTCCCCTTCCTGCATATATATTCTGTAACATATATATATTATAGAATATATTATATTTATTATTATTTGCATCGATATTTTTGTGTTCCAATTTTTAAAAGTTTGTTGTATTTGAATATGAAAAATACTTATGTAACAAAAAATATGTAGCAAAAGTAATTTTTTATAAAGATATTTAAATATTTATACCATTGTTTATGCTTATTATAATAAATATTAATTAAAAGTTAATTGGCAAAAGTTATAATGCTTAACAATTAGAAATGAAGCAATTCTTATTTAAAAACTGTTTCCATTTTTCTTTACTGCGACTTTATATGCTTCGGTATAACCATATTATTTCAATGAGCTACTTCCTGCTATTTAATACGAAAAAAAGGAAAAGAAAGAAACGTTTCTACAAACGGTTCTATGGGTAATGAGTATGGTCAAAGATCATATAGCAACAACGATATAGGACTGCAAAATGTGTTTGTGCATGCAGCGTGAATAGGATAAAAGTAGGTGAAGTATAAAATTGACGACACACTTGTAGTGATACATGTTATACATAAGCAGCAAATATCGATAAAAAATTCGATTCAAATATTGGTATGCTGGTACGTAACTCGCTTATTTCTACTTGTGGCAACAAAAAGATGTGATATCAAAAGGATTCAAATCATAAATATTTTAAAAAGTTTTACATGAGAATTCTATCAAAAAGATTTTGAAATATATAAAATTGCTGATTTAAAGAATTAACAAGAAAGATTTTACAATTTTTTTAAATTTCTTTTGAATCGAAAATTTATACCGTCTACATAGATATATATGATGTATGTAAGCAAATATTATTCTCATTGTCAGAATTACAACATTAATATAATAGAATGATAATAGATAGCATATCAATATTCGGAGTTTACGAACTATTATTTGATCATTGAAATATAAGACAATAATGTTAATTCTAAAATAAAATCTAGCTTAAATAATTAATTAAGTGTAAAAATACTATTTATATATAGAAAGTATAATTACATACTTTTCAATAAAATTATTTTGTATCAGAATTAAGCATGGATATGGAATTATTTTAGATCAGTAGATTAGTTCGTTTTAAATTCCGAATGGCGAACAAACGATGAAGTTAGAACTTTTATTGCCTATGGTTGGTCGTATTTATATTCACGTACGTTTTCAGCAAATGTAATGATGCACATGATGTTAGTTTCGTAACTACGCATTTTCGGACCCATATTTAGAACAAAAATTGTTCTTTTAGATCTCCTATATGTTGTTTTGACACAATAATGAATTACCTTGTATATATATTTAAATATTATTATGTTATTTAAATATTGGACGTCCTATTTTAAATGCTCCAGGTAAATATTTTAAAAACTGAGATTGGTAGACAAAATATTTCAAATAAAAATTGTACGGTTTGGAAAAGAAAAAAGATAGGAATATTAGTTTCATCTCAGGTGTAGCTACTAAAGCTGTATGAAGGTCAACCTGGTTTTTTTAAATGGGACTACCTACTTTAATTTGTCCATACAAATCGACTTCTCACAATATAAAAAATTATAAGGGTTGGATAGCTATTAAATAGTTTATAGTTTAGTTAAATTGAGTAATTTATAGTTTATGTACAATGGAAATATATTTTATAATTTATGTAAAATTTTGTCAAACTTAAAGTATAAAATACCTTGTAAATTATATTTGTAATTTATATTTATATTTTTACATACATATTTAATTTATTAATACATATTTTTTTAATTTGTACATATATTTGTATATATATATATATATATATATATATATATGTATATACATACACACACACACACATACACATACACGTACATGCACGCACATACATATATATACAGGGTAAGTTATTTTAATCAACGCACGCAAATATCTCGTAAAGTAAACAAGATGGAAAAAAATGTTTCAGATAAAAATTGGATGGTTTCATGTGGTCCAAGGAGGCCACACGACGAAAATGTGAACTTGAGCTTGAATCACCTTTCCAAGGTGAAGTCAAGGTAGAAGGTAGTCTAGGTAGAAGTCATACTTCTAATTTTTTAAATGGAATTCTCCATTTTTTATTATACATTCTTATAACTTATTTTGAAAACTTTTTTGTAAACACTATAATGAAATATTTTCTCATTGAATATTTTTTAAATATTTCATTAAATACTTTTTTTTTTAATATGTCATTAAATACTTTTTGAGTTGAGGCCTGAAATAATTTCTTAATTTTACATAAAGTATATAAAATATCTCGTAAAATATTCATTTTTCGAGATGATCTTACCTCAATATTTTTATACTCAAAATAATAGGAGCAATCAATTGGTGTACAAAAAACACAGTTGTTTTTAGGAAAAAATATGTTACTGTCAATTGTAAATTCATTCTTTTTCTTAAAAATAACTGTATATTTTAATTTAATTTATATTAATTTAATTAAAATTTATTAGTTTATTTAATTTATTAATAATTCAGTTGATTTAATTTATATTGGTTAGTTATTGATAAGTATTGTTGACTAATCAATAACTTTCGTTATAGGCATTGTTAAAATACTGATAGTGAGGCGCCGAATGATTCATTCTTTAACATAATTCTTCACAGTTCTTTATTTAATTTGATTAATTCATTTGACATCTCATTATAATTCAACATTATTGTTATTTTATTCATTGTTATTTATTTATGTTGAAGATGACCTGAAGAAAGAATCGAAATGTACGCTGTGTATTTTGTCAATATTTGAATATATTTATATTAACATTTAATCATTTATATAATGAACAATTGTGTATCAACAACAACATGAGATTCGTAGTTCTGTTTAAACCATTTTTTATCTATTCATTTTATTTTGGATAAAATTACAATTGATATCATAAAATGCTCGATATCTTCGAAACGACTAACTCGAAATAAATAAAATTATAATGTTTCAAAAACATCGCAAAAAGAGTTATAAGAATATATGATAAAAAATATGGAATTCCATTTAAAAAGTTCAAGATGATCTTGTTCTGACTTTGGCGATACTATCTAATCTAATATGTTTATAGTATATACATATATATATATATACACAAAATAGAGATATCATATTATCCGTATATGAAGAAGAGAGTGGTAAATGGTATGTGTGGAGTATAACGTATAGAATATGATAGGGATGATAAAAATATGATATAGTGACAAGGGTAGATTCGAGTAACGCGTATGTATTAGTTACTTGTCCTTACTCAAAGATCTCATGTAATTAGTATAC